GGGGGGGGGGGGGGGGTAAGAAAAGTGAAAAACAAGAAAGAAATTTAAACCTTAGTTGGCACATATTTTTTCAAGTGAAAAATGATCTTTTTTGGAATGGAAGGCGGGGAAAAGTTGTGGGTACCATAGAATGTGTGGTTGAGCCCTTGCTTGAGCTCCATTATCAAAACACTCATTTTTTTCTCAAACTCATTTTTAACTACACATCCTTCCAATAAAATAATTTTACAGGAAAACATAAAACTTTTCTCTACTTTTTAACAACATATTCTTCAGAAATGACTATTATAAAATATATTTTTCCCCTAAAATGGGGATCAAACAGAGCTTGAAAATGATTTTTGAAAAAAATAATTTTAGAAAAATCTATGCCAAACAACTCTTTAGATGTATAACAACATCAAACTCACAATTTTGAAATAAATCAATCATAATATAATCTGAAGTAAAAACCTGGAGATTTTAGTTGAATCTCATACTACAACATATGACGACAAACTAAGCCTTGTTCCCAAAAAATTTAGGATTGGCTACATAAATCTTACTTACCACTCCTATTGATTGTGTATTCGGATTATATCATGAGATTTGACAAAGTTTTATGCTAAAGTCAGCCTCCCACTAACCCTCCTTTACTGGGGCTAGGGACTGCTATGAAATAGGCAGAGTTAATTGGAATATTTATCTCCACTGCGAAGATTTTAGGCTTTCAACTTGACCTAGAGCTCTCAAATACTTAATAATACAAAAATGAATAAATTGGACAAATGAAGAAAATAAAAGGAGGTATTGTGAAATTTGTATGTTCTAATATGAATTTGGCGGATGGGAAGTGGGGCATAGGGGGGAAATTATGGTTGTTGATGTTGTTTTAGAATGTGGGGAGGCCGGTTCAGGTTCTTGCTTCATTTTGTTTATATGCTTAATGTTTCAGAGTTACTATTAATCTATCCAAGGGTTATCAAAAACTGCCAAGATCAAATAATTTTTCTCACCTTACCTAGACACGTGTAACTTACAGTTTATTATGCATATATTATTTTACCCAACCAGTATTCAACTTAAGTTCAAATCTTGGGAAGCGACAGAAATTCGTGAGGGGTCAGGCTCTCCCACAGTGGAAAGTAATAAGTTAATTGCTTGGGCATAGAGGTCAGGTCGTTACATGTTGATTGGTCAATTTTCCATGTTGAATATAAACCTCTTTTTGTGAAACTGATTTAAATTATGTACTTTTTGGTGGTTGACCACAATAGTGTGTTTACATGTTACCTCAGAAGTTCTGTATTCTCCTTTTTCTTTAGTCAAGTATTCTTCTCCATAACATGAATATTTGTTTAATTTTGGGTTCTAATATCTGAGGCTCTTTTTAAGGTGTGGACACTGCAAGAAACTTGCTCCCGAGTGGAAGAAGGCAGCTAATAATCTCAAGGGCAAGGTGAAGTTTGGTCAAGTAGACTGCGATGCAGAAAAAGTAAGTTTCAGGGTAATATTTACTTCTGATATTGTTACAAATTAAATTGTTTCTATGCCATATTCAATATATTTAGTCCTGGCTAAATGCTAAGCTGACTTCTTTTATATGCATTTCTCTAAAATGGTGGGATGATAAGCTTTGCTTTGTTTTACACGTTGAACGTAAAACTTTCAACTAGTTTAATATCCCTTCACAAAGTTCAAATTAGAAAGTACATCAGCCTTTTTCAAAAAATACAAACTGATGACATTGAACTAATAATGATTCAAGGCTGACATATGACTCTCAGACACTTGAAATGTAATGTAAGGTATCTTAATTTTCAAATTCAGGACGTTTTTGAATTGTACAGAATTTTGGAGAAAAGGCAAATGTGTTGCACATTTCTTTTACTAGAACCATTTTTTAAATAATATTTGGTGTTGCACAAATTGTTGTGAGAGATTTGCTGGCCTTCTTAATAGTGCAGCATCCTTGTACTTACTGGTCAAACAGTGAAAGCACAAAGTTGTGGGTTTTTTGGTGGATATGAATTTCGGTGGCTAAATATATCTAAGAGAGAGATCTCCACATGACACAAGATATTCGTGATGCACTCCCTATCATTTAATCTTCATCTGGACATGTAAATCAAAACACTGAAGAAAGAGCACACATGATAACTAGCTAAGATAGGAAGTGATTCTTTCTTGCTTAGGTACATGAACTTTTAGTTGTGAACTGCTTCCAATTTTGAGAATTTTGTGCAAGGTATAGTAGGTTACCGTTCAGACCAAATCTCATTTAGCTTTATTACCTGATAAGTTAAAATATTGATGTTGAATATTGTATCAAAGGTCGTAAAATAAAAAGATATTGAGATGTACCGATGGAGATATCATTTGATAGAATTGTTTGGAATTTGTGAAATTTGTCAAACATTAAATGATGTGCAATTAATGTATTTTTACGTACTTGTATCTCAATAGATGATGATAATATATGCAAGAGACTACTTTTAAAAAGTGCACATGAGATAGTAATTTGAATAACTTATGAGAAGGAATAAAAAATCTACAACCCTTCACTATGTCTTTGTGAGGGAAAAATAAAAAAGGGAAAAGAAAGAGTGATAATTACAAATGATTTTGCTTCTATTGCCTTCATAGTTATAATGCCAGAGCAGGTATTGGAGTTTGTTAAATACTGAAAATGCATACCTTTATCACAAATTATCAACATATTAACAAACATGCTGATAGCATATTAAAAATTTGGGTAAATTGATAGCTGGATCATAAGCTGGATATTTGGTTTGTTCCTATGGTTCTGTATTGAGCTCATGTTTCTAACAATTTCAAGTTGTCAGTCTCTAATGAGCAGGTTTAATGTGCAAGGATTTCCAACGATCTTGGTTTTTGGTGCCGACAAAGACCATCCATTCCCCTACGAAGGCGCAAGATCAGCCTCCAGTATTGAGTCGTTTGCCTTGGAGCAGCTTGAAACAAATGTTACCCCACCTGAAGTGACTGAGTTGACTAGCCCTGTAAGATCTACCCCCACCCTTAAAAAATGAAAGTGGAAAAACTTCTTTTCTATCCAACATGAGTTGTCAGTACAAAACTTGCAACACACTGTTCTTGTAGGATATTTTGGATGAGAAGTGCGGTTCAGCAGTCATCTGTTTTGTTGCCTTCCTCCCTGACATTTTGGACTCCAAGGCAGAGGGCAGGAATAAGTACCTCGAACTTCTGTTATCAGTTGCAGAGAAATTCAAGAGGAGCCCTTACAGGTTAGGAGACTAGTCTTAATACTTGAATTTCTCAATATCCCTAAAAGCAGGAAAAGCTTAACTGCACAACCCCTTCCCAAAAAAGCGAAAGTTGGAATTAAAACTTTGGTTTTACAGTTATGTTTGGGTGGCTGCGGATAATCAGCCAGATCTTGAGAAGCATCTTGGAGTTGGTGGCTACGGTTATCCTGCTTTGGTAGCACTAAATCTGAAGAAAAAGTTATATGCTCCACTTAAGAGTGCATTTGAGCGCGATCAGATTATGTAAGTTGTTTTTCTCTTTGTATTGTCAGTTACATGAAATTGAGGTCATGTAAGCACAACCATATTCCATTGGTTTTCTCAGAGAATTTGTGAAAGAAGCTGGACTCGGTGGAAAAGGTAATCTGCCTATGGCGGGCACCCCTGTTATTACAAAGACTGAACCCTGGGATGGTAAAGACGGACAAATCATTGAAGAAGATGAGTTCTCGCTTGAAGAACTTATGGGGGATGACACTGGCAGCAAGAATGAACTATAGTTCATATTCTAATTTAGAGAATTAGAATTGAGTTTAAAGAAGTTCTGGTGAACAAGCCTTTACTTTAATTGCCAACATTTTGATATGATCCAATGTGTCCCTTTCCTTAAAAAGAAATTTCCACTGCCTCGTGGTGGCCATTTATTTGTCACACTTCATTTTCAGTTAGTTACTTCCCTGTATATCGATCTTCACTTCTTGTTTCATTTGGGATACGTAGTGTAAACTCTTTCAATGAAAGGTTCAAACCTCATAAACACGTTGCATTTCAAAATTATGAATACTGGACAAACAGATAATTAGCAGATAGTCGTGTAATCTACTGCCTTTTTGTGAGGCACTGGGATGAACATTTTCAATTTACCACCGGACAACCCCAAAACAACTCGGGGCCAAGAGGAAAAAATTTCCGAATTGAAAAGAAAATTTGATGGGAGTTTAAATTTCACGTTGGTCTTTATCCTATCTTGTCCATATAAAAACCTATAATGATGACTCTACGATAAACATGAAGGTAGGATCATTTTATAGATGAATAATGCTACTTGTATATAAGATTTACATACAGATTGTTTTTTTTTATTTTTTTGGTTAAAGAAATTCTGATCCAATCATATTTCACCGCATATATATATATATATATATTTTTTTTTTTCTTTTTTTCTTTTTTTTTTTTTTTTTATGTAGCACAAACATTTGATGGATAACATCCCAATGGGATAAAACTACACAGGTCATAAGCTCCATCACTTGCCAACGTTAACACACATGGGCTAAAAAGGGGCCAATTTTGCACGTAACATGTTCCAATGTACAAGTGAAACCAGAAACTCGAAAAACTAATCTCTTTCATGGTCATAATGATTTTGTGCCAAAGGAAGCATAATCCTAAGACTTTTGAAAACATTTGGAAATTTGCCCACCTATCTACTGTTGGAAAAAATTGAGCGAGCAGTTCACTTTTGGCTCAATTTTCGATGGGACCCGTTGGTCCAATGTGGAATATCAAAGTTGATATGTGTTCTCTTTCGCGAGAACATCGATTTCATGTATTTATTTGCCAAAAATAAAGTTCGGCTGAATAAGAAATTAGAGCTCAATGTTGGTCATTGGAAGTTGATTTTGTGGGGAAAAAATACATTTATCCCACATAGGAAAATCAAGGAAATTTAGACCACTTTATATATGGCTATACTTTGAAGTTGTGTAGTCATGTGTAGCATAGAGGCTCTTTCCACATGCGCGCGCAGGGGGTGCAAATCACGAACTGAAATGGCCTTCGGATCTTGAACTTGGGTGCGCACATGAATGTCGGGCCGAACAATGCAAAAATGGCCCCATCGGAGAGCCCACGTTTTGCCAATTTTTTTTTTTACTTTCTCTAATGACTTTTGAGTTTCTAAACTGAAAAAACTCCAATGGATACAATATTAATGGGAAGTAATGGGCAATATGCCTATAAAAAGACTCATTCTCCAGTAATCTAACACACTCGAAAATCTCATCTACATTCATGTGTACACAGTTTCTTCTTTTCTGCATTCCCTGTCCAGTAAGGTCTTGTGGTGATATTGTTCAGATACTATATCAGTTCGCTAGAGTAGGACTGCGGTGCTCGGATTCTGCTTATTACCGTTGTATCCTGGGAGACAGCCGCTCGAACTGAACCTCCAGCACCTACGGTGAGAGGGCGAAACTTTCTTAAGGAAACTGTGCACGCACAGGCCTCAGTTTGAAATCTGTTGCAGTTTGTGTTTTCTTTCTATAGATTATTTTCGCATTACTATTTAATTCATGAAGTTTGTAGTTCCATAGTGTGCAGCTTCCAGATTCATTGTTTATAGTTTTAGCCTACAGCTAACTTATATTTCTGATTTTGTGTTGCTAATTTTTTTTTTCAATTGTTGGAAAATTCTGAAACAGAATTTTTCTTGATAAATTGAAATCATTTGCCTTGTAGTTATTAATTTCAATAGTCGGCTATTGCAATTGAATAAAAGTTATACAATTGGTATCATCCACTAGCGACCTGTTTTCGTACAAGTTTAAGACAGTTGCTGAATTCGGCAAACAATAGTCGTTTTTTTTTGTTTCATTGAATTGTAGTTTCTTGGAACTAATATTTGGTTTGTTTTCAGAAATGGCAACTGAATCGAACAACATGGATGTGACCCAAAATGTTCCCGCTGGAAATCAGGTTGTGGGTTCTAATGTGGCTCAAGGGCCAAGCTCTATTGTGGCTCAAATTGTGGCTAGAATGCCAAGTCATGTTGTGAGCCAAACTGGTCAAAATGTAACTGTTCCAGTTAATCATGGAAAAAAATCGGAGAAATTCAATGGCTTGAATTTCAAAAGGTGGCAGCAGAAAATGCTTTTTTACTTGATCACCTTGAATCTTGCGAGATTCTTGACTGAAACTGCTCCAAAGCTTAATGAGGGCGAGGGAGATGTGCAAGCATTAAGTGCTCTTGATGCTTGGAAGCATTCGGACTTTCTGTGCCGAAATTATATCATGAATAGCCTAGCAGATGCGCTGTACAATGTGTATAGCACCATGAAAACTGCTGAGGAATTGTGGGAGTCCTTGGACCAGAAATACAAAACTGAGGATGCCGGGGCTAAAAAGTTTATAGTCGATAAATTTTTAGACTATAAGATGGTGGACTCCAAAACTGCTATCAGTCAAGTGCAAGAACTCCAAATGATCCTTCACGAAATTCATGCCGAAGGAATGATGTTGAGTGAAACTTTTCAAGTGGCTGCAATTATAGAAAAATTTCCCCCCACGTGGAAAGATTTCAAGAACTATTTGAAACATAAACGAAAGGAAATGAACGTCGAAGAAGACAACAAGAGTTCCGAGAAGAATTGGTTCAATCTTGTTGTGGCCAAAGCCAATGTTGTGGAGCTTGGTCAAAGTAGTAAGAACTACAAAAATAAGTCTGGGTCATCCGGTGGCAAAAGAACCAAGCAAGGACCGAAAGGTGGAATTGTCAAAAAGAAATTCCAAAGGGAAATGCTTCAATTGTGACAAAGTGGGTCACAAGTCTTCGGAGTGCAGATTACCGAAGAAGAAGAAAGAAGCGAACATGGTTGACTACATGGTACAAGATGTGTCGGAGCTAAATCTCGCAGCAGTCATTTTTGAAGTAAACATGGTGGGTTCAAACCCTAAAGAGTGGTGGATTGACATCGGTGCTACAAGACATGTGTGCTCTGATAAAGAGATATTTGATATGTTCAAAGCTGTTGAGAACGGGGAGAAATTGTTTATGGAAAATTCAGCAACTTCTGAAATCAAGGGTCAAAGAAAAGTGGTTCTGAAGATGACATCAGGAAAGGAGCTGACTCTCAACAATGTGCTTTATGTACCGAAAATTCGCAAGAATTTAGTGTTCGGGTCGCTTTTGAATAAGCACGGTTTCCGCATTGTTTTTGAGTCAGACAAAGTCATTCTGTCAAAAAGTGGAATGTTTGTCGGAAAATGTTATGTTTTCGACGGTATGTTTAAACTCAATGTAATGGTTGTGAAACCAAAAATAAATAAAGCAAGTTCTTCTGCTTATTAGCTTGAGTCTTCCAATGTGTGGCATGGTAGATTAGGATACGTTAACTATGATACTTTACAAAGACTAGTTAACTCTAACTGCATACCTAAGTTCGATAACGATTCAAACATAAGTGTGAAACTTGTGTTGAAACATAATTGACAAGGTTATCGTTTAAATCAGTTGAACGGAACACAGAACCACTAGATTTAGTTCACAGTGACGTGTGTGATCTAGAACTTGTACAAACAAGAGGTGGCAACAAGTATTTTATTACTTTTGTCGACGATAGCACAAAATACTACTATGTATATTTGCTTAAAAGTAAGGATGAAGCTATAGAGAAATTTATTCTCTATAAGAATGAAGTTGAGAATCAACTTAATAAGAAAATTAAGGTGCTGCGAAGTGATCGAGGTGATGAGTATAAAGCACCATTTGTTGGATTCTGTGCACAACACAGAATCATACATGAAACCGCCACCCCTTATTCATCGCAACAAAATGGTGTTGCTGAACAGAAAAATCGTACCTTAAAAGAGATGATGAATGCAATGCTCGTAAGTTCTGGGTTACCTCAGAACATGTGGGGGGAAGCAATGTTATCAGCAAATTACCTTTTAAATAAGGTGCCTCGAAAGAAATCGGAAAAGACCCCTTATGAGTTATAGAAAGGAAGAATGTCTACCTATAAACACTTGCGAGTGTGGGGGTGTCTTGCTAAAGTGGTTGTTCCACCACCAAAGAAGGTAAGGATAGGCTCGAAAACTATAGACTGTGTCTTCATTGGCTGCACACATAATAGCAGTGTGTATCGCTTTCTTGTGTATGATTCAAAAATTCCAGACATACACAAAAACACGATAATGGAATCAAGAAATGCTACATTCTTTGAAGAAATATTTCCATACAGATCCAAAGAGGAAGCAAGCTCCTCTAAACGAACATATGAGACAATGACTGAAAATAGTCAGAACGAAAAATTAGAAGAGGAGATTGAGGTGTGACGCAGCAAACGGGAAATGACAGAAAAATCTTATGGTCCTGATTTTCTGACCTATATGTTAGAAAGTGAACCTCAAAGTTATCAAGAAGCAATGAATTCCTTAGAAGGACCTCAACAGAAAGAAGCCATTGAAAGTGAAATAGATTTCATACTGCAAAATCATACATGAGAGCTAGTGGATCTTCCTCCAGGAAGCAAACCATTAGGCTACAAATGGATTTTCAAAAGGAAAATGAAAGCAAACGGAACTATCGAGAAGTATAAGGCCAGATTAGTAATTAAAGGCTACAAACAATGGGAAGGCCTTGATTACATTGATACGTATTCTCCAGTGACTAAAATAACATCTATTAGGATGATACTTGCAATTGCCGCTTTGCTAAATCTTGAAGTACATCAAATGGATGTTAAAACTGTCTTTCTAAATGGAGATCTAGAAGAAGAAATTTACATGGAACAACCTGAGGGGTTTTCATCACCAGGACAGGAAAAGAAAATCTGTAAACTGGTGAAATCACTATATGGCTTGAAATAAGCACCAAAATAATGGCATGAAAAATTTGACAATGTCATGATTGAGAGTGGATTTAAAATCAATGAATGTGACAAATGTGTTTACGTCAAAGACACTAAAGATGGATATGTTATCTTATGTCTTTACGTTGACGACATGCTTATTGTTGGTAGGGACAATAAGATGATTGAATCCACTAAAAATATGTTAAACTTGAGATTTGACATGAAATATATGGGTTAGCTGATGTTATACTTGGAGTGAAAATTTCAAGAACATCAAACGGGCTTGTTCTAAGTCAGTCACATTATGTGAACAAAATTTTAGGAAAATTCCATAAGGATGATACTGACTTGGCTAGAATACCAATAGATACGAGTCAACATCTGTCTAAAAACAGAGGAGAAAGTATCTCTCAAGTAGAATACTCGAGAGTTATCGGAAGTCTAATTTACTTAATGAGTTGTATTATACCAGACATAGCCTACACAGTCAGTAAACTGAGTAGATACACGAGTAATCCAGGAGCGATCACTGAAAAGGAATTGTAAGAGTACTTAGGTACTTAAGATATACTCGTGACTATGGACTACATTATACTAGATATCCAGCAGTCATTGAAGGATATAGTAATGCTAATTGGATATCTAAAAGACTTAAAATCCACCAGTAGATATGTGTTCACATTGGGTGGTGCTGCCATATCATGGAAATCCTCCAAGCAAACGGTTATAGCTAGATCTACGATGGAATCTGAGTTTATAGCTCTAGATAAATGTGGTGAAGAGGCTGAATGGTTGCGCAACTTCTTAGAGGATATTCCAAGATGGTCAAAACCTGTGCCAGCAATTCGCATATATTGTGACAGTCAATCGGCAATAGGAAAGGTACAGAGTAACATATATAATGGTAAGTCTAGACATATACGTCGTAGACACAATACTGTAAGACAACTACTCTCAACTGGAGTTATCACTATTAACTATATAAGGTCAAAAGATAATATTGCGGATTCGCTAACCAAAGGGTTAAATAGAGAGTTAGTTATGAAATCATCAAAAGGAATGAGACTTAAGCCCTTGAAAGAATAAGTCATTAGAAAGAAAAACCCAACCTAGTTGACTGGAGATCCTAAGATCTAGGTTCAATGGGAAAATCTAACTGTAAAGACTTGATAAAATTACTGTGAGGGTATTACCTCCTATCCATTCCTATGATATAACATTGATGCATGTAAGGTTGAAGGTTAAGCAATAGGCTTTTAATGATTCTTATGCGTTGTAAATCGAGCCAAGTAATGCGGGTTACTTGTAATAAGAAATCACCTATGTGAGAGAGAAGTGGGGTCGCTTCTAAGAGAATTGTGTAGGGCTCAATTCTTAAGAACTCTCACAGAACCAAGCATATGTTCATGGCCAAAACGAACATAACAATGAGAACTGGATTGTGTTAGGAAGAATCATGTGTGAGGTATATCACTGTTCACACAAACGGCAGAACAGTTCAAGGACATCGCGTCTACTAGTTAGCCAGTAAAGTAAATATTCTTTCACAAGGGAAGGTTCAAAGGGTAACACCTACCTATCCTATGCACGATTCAACCGCTGAACTTTATCACCAAGTCTTGTGTCTCACGTTTCGTGTCTCTCCCAATTTTCATTCATGTGGGGGATTGTTGGAAAAAATTGAGTGAGCAGCTCACTTTTGGCACAATTTTCGATGGGACCCGTTGGTCCAATGTGGAATATCAAAATTGATATGTGTTCTCCTCTGCGAGAACATCGATTTCATGTATTTATTTGCCAAAAATGAAACTCGGGTGAATGAGAAATTGGAGCTCAAGGTTGGTAATTGGAAGTTGGTTTTGTGGGAAAAAATGCATTTATCCCACATAGGAAAACCAAGGAAATTTAAACCACTTTATATATGACTATGCTTTGGAGTTGTGTAGTCATGTGTAGCATAGAGGCTCTCTCCACGTGCGCGCGCAGGGGGTGCAAATCACGAACCGAAATGGCATTCGAACTTTGAATTTGGGTGCGAGCGCGACCTGTGTACACGAATGTCGGACCGAACAAGGCAAAAATGGCCCTATCGGAAAGCCCACATTTTGCCAATTTTTTTTTGCTTTCTCCAATGACTTTTGAGTTTCTAAACTGAAAAAACTCCAATGGACTCCCAATGGTCACAATATTAATGGGAAGTAACTCCATTGGACTCCCAATGGTCACAATATTAATGGGCAATATGCCTATAAAAAGGCTCATTTTCCAGCAATCTAATACACTCGAAAATCTCATCTACATTCCTGCATACACAGTTTCTTCTTTTCTGCATGCCCTATCTAGTAAGGTCTTGTGGTGATATTGTTCAAATACTAGATCAGTTCGTTGGAGTAAGACCATGGTGCTCGGATTCAGCTTATTACTGTTGTATCCTGGGAGACAGCCGCTCGAACTGAACCTCCAGCACCTACGGTGAGGGGGCGAAACTGTTTTAAGGAAAATGTGCACGCATAGGCCTCGATTTGAAATTTGCTGTAGTTTGTGTTTTCTTTCTATAGATTATTTTCGCATTACTATTTAATTAATGCAGTTTGTAGTTTCATAGTGTGCAGCTTCCAGATTCATCGTTTACAGTTTTAGCCTACAGTTAACTTATTTTTCTGATTTTGTGTTGCTAAATTTTTTTTTTCAGCCGTTGGAAAATTCTGAAATGGAATTTTGCTTGATAAATTGAAATCGTTTGCCTTGTAGTTATTAATTTCAATAGTCGGCTATTGCAATTGAATAAAACTTATACAATTGGTTTCATCTACTAACGACTTTTTTCCTACATCTATTGTATGAGTAAATCTTTGGTGGGGGCAGTTAGTACACAGTAGAACGTAAGGATTAGAGAAGTATTGGCCTATTAAATGTATGTCCTAGTTTTCTCTCTTGCTAAAGCTCCATTTAACTGCTCAGACTGACTTTCGAATGTAATTGAAGGAGCTCTTGACTATTCTCAAGTCCACAATGTCGACTTTGTTAAACATCAATAGATTTGACAAACCATTCTCATGGTCATGGCATGTGTAGAAAATAATAAAATAAAACATACCTCCAATAGTTGGTAAAGCTTAATTAGAAACCATGGGAGATCAATGAGAAATTCCTGCAAATGAGATTCAAATTTACATAAGGTGGCTAGGGTTCTTTGAATCCTTTTCTTCTATCATTGTCACACTATTCACCAAAAAAGGAGCACATATATACATATAACATTTGAAATCCTTTTTCTTGGTGGCCACAAGCCCAATGGGTAGGCTTGAGCAAGATAGAAGAATGGACCTAAGGACCTAAAGCATGGTAAGTGGTGTAATGTCCATCCAATAAATGGGCCAAATGTCAATTGTCATTACATTATGTTAGCCAACAAAATTGATCCAACATTCTCCCACTTGAACTACATAATCTTAATACAAATGCTTTCATAGCACCATACATAACCAAAACTAATCACACATAACCAAAACACCAATAGGATGCATAGGATATATATAATTAGGAATTACTAATCCAGAAACATGATACTACCATTAATATCATCATTTTGTCACTTATCAAATCACAAAGATACATAGTATCATAAAACAGTGACATACATCTATAATATGCATGAATTACACAAAAAAATCAAGCAATCCTCATAAAACATACAAAGAATAGCAAACTCCCACTAAAACAAAGAAAATTAGACCCCAACAATTCCATGCTGGAGACGTGTTCTTGAAATACACATATAGGTAAGCCTTTAATTAGTGGGTCAACCAACATGTTGTTCGTAGGCGTGTGCTCAAATGGTAATGAGGGACTCTACAACTTTTTCTTTGACAAAATAGAACTTGATATCAATATGTTTGGAGCGAAAAGTACTCCTAGTGTTGCGAGAGAAAGATACGGCTGTGGAATTGTCACAATATAATTTCAGCGGTCTCGAAATAGATTCCATGACTCCTAATGTTGAAATGAATTTCCGTAGCCACATTGCATGAAAAGTAGCCTCATAACACGCCACATACTCTGCTTTCATGGTCGAAGAAGTTGTAAGTGTCCGTTTAACACTTTTCTACGAAACAACTTTTCCTTCCATCATAAAGATGTACCCAAAAGTGGATTTCTTATCATCCACGCAACCTGCATAATCGGAATCATCGAAACCAACCACTTCAAGAGTGTCAGTACGCTGATATGTCAACATGAGATCCTTGGTACCTTGAAGATACCTCAAACCTTTCTTAGCCGCTTTCCAGTGACAAGGATCGTTCAAGTATCTACCAAACACAAAGGTAATATCAGGACGTGTGCATACTTGAATATACATCAGGCTGCCAACAACAGAAGCATAAGAGACCATTTTCATTTGATCTCTCTCAACATCATTTTGAGGACACTGTGTCTTGGAGAACTTATCACCCTTCACAATTGGAGTCTTCACAAAAGAACAAGACTGCATATTGTACCTCTTTAAGATACGATCAATGTAAGTATGTTGAGACAATTTGAGAACACCATTGGCACTATCACGAAGAATCTATATACCTAAGATATATGATGCTACACCAAGATCTTTCATGTCAAAATGGCCAAACAATAGTTGTTTTGTCCCAAACAATAAGTCAGTGTCATTGGTAGCGAGCAATATATCGTCAACATACAAAACCAGAAATATGTACTTGCTCCCACCGACCTTCATGTATATACATTGATCAACAATGTTTTCCTTGAAGCCATTAGCGGTGACAATTTTATCGAACTTGAGATACCACTGCCTTGAAACTTGTTTCAACCCATAAATTGATTTTTGGAGCTTACAAACCATGTTTTTTTTTTCCAACTACCTCAAAACCAATAGATTGAATCATGTAGACATGTTCATTTAAATCTCCATTCAAGAAAGCCGTTCTTACATCCATTTGATGAAGTTCCAAGTCGAAATGTGCCACAATTGCCATAATGATTCGTAAAGAATATTTAGTCAAAACTGGAGAGAATGTTTCCTTGTAATCAATACCTTCTCGTTGGCTATAGCCCTTAGCCATATGGGTGTAAGTGGTCCGATTTTATCGATTTTTGACAAATTTTCAAACAAAACCGTTTAAACCGGTTTGAGAAAAACTCAAACTTAAACCAAACCATTTTGAACGGTTTGAAAAAAAATTCAAACCTAAACCTAATGGTTTGGTCCATTTTAAATCGTCGATTTCATCGTATTTTTTTTTGTCTACTTTTATGACATTAATTCATTGAATTCAATATATATTTATATTTTACTACTAAAACAATCTAAGCCCTTGTTTGAACCAAAATTTTGGGACAAAAAAAATGAAAATTTGGATCATTATCCTATAAGTCCAACCGCATCTGTTAACCTGTTATTTCATGCGTAGGACCCACCTTTCTCTCCAACGATCAATTTTCTCATTATGATAACATGAAAAATATGGCTCGAACAGGGGCTAAATATATCTAATATAAATTTAAATATCTACTAAATCAAAGTGAAATCACAATAAACTAAAACATAGTTTTTTTCATTTTTATTCACCTTTTTTAGGGTAATGACGTTATGATAACGTTACAATACAAGTCTACTAAACGAGATATAAGGCCCAAAAAATATAATGATATCCAAAAAGACCTCTTAATCATCATATCTGAAAAAATGTTACTAATTAGACAAAGAAAATAAACAACCACAATAATGAATCAGATATTTGTAATATCTTAACATAACAAATACACAAGCTTACGTTTGTACGTTGTTACGAAACGCATTTAATTTCAAATTCTTACCTCAGTTTGCTCAAAAAAAATATTGATTTGAAACTTTATTCATAGCAAATATTATCATCAAAGGCATAGGATCTCTTTGTCTCCGATTTGGTGTAATAGACTACAATTCAACTTTGAAGTGGCATAAAAAATCTGAAGAAGAAGTGTGTGTGGTGGCGGTGGCTCAAGACTGTGTTGGGTGTTGGTTGGAGTTCATCTGAATTCTAAATAGAAAATGGCTTTTGATAGATTATGTTAGTTTTGAAATTATTAGATATAAATTAGGATTATTAGGTAATAATAATATATATGTATTAGAAAATTAGAAATTGACAAAATACCCACAAATGGCAAACTATTGAATTTTACATATTTGGATGAATTTTCAAAAAACTCCTTATATATATATATATATATATATATATATATATATA